CAATTGAACCTATCACGGCTTGGGTCAGGCACACCTTAGTCTTTATAATGACACTGCTACTCGTTAGCATGTTGGAGACATACTTGACAGCAGATTTGGCCATACTTCATATAGAACAAGGATGGATCATTTGTAATGAGTGAGACAAGAGAAGAAATAGCCTTGAGAGATTCATGTCCAGAAAAATCAGAGCTCATGCCAGAAAATCACTTCCAGTTTGAACATCTGACACCCATATATTAGATGATAGCTCACAAGTACAAGTCAAACTTGTTAGTCTTTTACTTAACACATGACATTTCTTACTATACTTTCTGTGCTTTTAAGGCTAAAAATTTATTTATTGTGCATTCAATGTCATTTTTCAGTTTCTTCACATTCTACAGTCAACAGAGGAAGATTACATAGTCTGCCTTGACCTATATAATTTATATGCCATCAAGTCTATTACAACTCAGAGACCTTATAAACAACCTGGCCCTATCCTGTGTCATCTTCACCATCATACATATATGTGTGTGTGTGTGTGTGTGTGTGTGTGTGTGTACCCGTTGTTACAGACACCGTAACAGCCTATATTGTTGAGTCTCTTCCTCTTTTGGTGACATTCCATCTTTCCAAAGGATTGATGGAATCCTAAGGATTGGTCCCTCCTAACAACATACTCAAAGTATGTAAAATGAAGTTTTATCCTCCGTGCTTCCAAAAAGGACCATGGCTTCTTCTTCAAGCCATATATTTTTTTTTTAATCTTTTGGCAGTTCTTAGGATATTCGACTCTCTTCTCCAATACTACAACTCAAAGGCATCAATTCTTCTTCTGTCATGCTAATTCATTGTCCAACTTTCAAATGCATAACATGTGATTGACAAAACCGTGGCAAGGATCAGGTACATCCATGAAGGCTCGCAAATTCAAATGTATTAGTTTTAGTCTGCTGATCTTTCACAGTAAGTGATGGAAAATAATAGGATTAATAGAAACTGCTCAATGGCACCCCCTATAACTTATGTCCAAGGAACTTGCCATCCCTACTGTATCTTAGATCTACCAATGCCTGGGAAGGTGATGAAGATTCAGTGATGTGTAATCACTGAAAGACTGGCATCCTTCTGTGATATCCTTTTGGGCTTGACACTCAAAGTTGATTGACTCTTGTGATGAGAATTTTACTACCTCCCATCCCCAGTGAATTACCTTACCAAATGATGAGGGTATCCTGTTCTATAAAATTCCCTGGTGACAAGTATCTTTTCAAATACACACAGTCACTTAAGCTTAAGATAAAGCCTCACCTTTTATGAACTACATGTGACATTTGAAAGTCCATTTGTGTTTTCCAGGCCTTCTTATCATAACTGTGATAAGTTTTTAAAGCAACTCGCTGCTTCATTTTAGATCCCTAGGTAAAACAAGAGCTTGGTCGATTGCTTAGACTTGGGTGGCCACGCTCTCTTTGATGTGCACTGTCACAAACAGAAAGAGAAATCCAAGGAGCGGGATTTCTTCACCTCAAACCTCAGTGCCAGGAAGGGTTTGGTGAGAGTTCAGTATGTTTTGTTAAGAAGAGAATGGTCAGAAAATATATACAAATGACATTACAGGATCTCAAAGTGCCAGAGCTAAAATGATGCCACTTCCCAACGTTGTGAGAAACTCAATAATTCCAAGGAAATTCCTCCAGAGTTCCACAGACACTGCTCAAATGCTCAAAGTAGATCCCTCTCACTTTTCAACATATAATCTATGTGGTTTTTACCTTAAACCAAGAATGTAAATTATTTTCTTTTCAAAAATAAGAAAAATATTTTTTTCTTTTTTATTGGTTTGTATATTATCATTCATATACATAGTGATTTGTATGTGTACTTTGTGTTTTATACATTCATATACTTTATATTTTGTATAATTATGATTTTAAAAAAATTCAGGGAGACTTTGCCTTCTGAATAAAATCCCAAAAGATTAATTCTTAGTATTCAATACTGAGTGAAGGTCATTGGATTTAGAAATAGAAAATGTAGATTTTAACTTTTGAACCAGTCACTTGCTTTGTCTTTCTCATCTGCAAAATGGAGATAATACTTGTCTCACTCTTTTGTTTCGAAGATCCAAAAAGTACATGAATTTGAAAACTATTTTAATTGTAACGCCCTCCAGATGTCTAGTTATGGAAGAGAAAAAGCTCATGTGAAGTATTGTTGTTGTTGTTAGGTGTTCTTGAGTTAACTATGACTCACGGAGAACAACAGACAGAAACCTTGTCCATCCCGCTTCATCCTCCTAATCTCCACTATGTTCAAGCCCAGTGTTATAGTCATTGAGTCATTCCATCTGTTTGACAGTATTCCACCCTTTTTTCTGACCTTCTACCTTTCCCAGAATAACGTCTTTTTTTCAAGGACTGGTGCCTCGTGTCATAGAGCATGCCCAAAATAGGAGATGAAGTTTCAGCAACTTTGCCTCTTAGGAGCGATCTTGATAGACTTCCTCCAACAGATTTGTCTGTTCTTTTGGGAGTCTGTGTATATCCAACAGTCTTCTCCAAACACAATTCAAAGGCACAGGTTGCTCTTCACTCCTCCTTATTCATGGTCTAATTTTCACACGAACATGAAGTAATTGAAAATACAGAGTTGGGTCACAGGCACCTTAGTCTTTAAACATTTTTCTTGTGAGCTGAGAGAACACTTGATCAACTTGAGTCACCTGCATATTTAAAGTAACTCTACTTCCCCTAGGTGTAGCAATGCTGGCTCTCTGAGTCCCAGTGGTCGTCTTCTCACCTGAAGGGGGGACTGAGTCATGGAAGGAAGAACTTGTACCAGAGTTATTGATTCAAAAGAAGGGAGTTTTCTTAGAATTATCTCTTTGCCGTGTTAGTTGGAGTATCACAAAAATGAAATTTCTGTTAGTCTCATATGTCTTTGTAGACTCCGTCACCACAGAGTTGTGTGCTGCTTATTTGTGACTGACGTCAGCAAGGTAAATATTAATGTATTAATATTAATACAGCCAACTATGGCATATTGTCATAAAATGTTAAAAATTAACTTCTCTGGGAAATTAACAAAGAGGGCCAGTGCCTTGGAATCTTTTTATTGCTCACTTGTAGTTTTGATCAATCAGCAGAATACCATAGGACTAAGCACTAAGAAACAGTGATTTTGTAACATGGGAAAAGTTTTGATACAGATAAGGGTTTTATTTTTAAAATATCACATTTGTTAATCTTATCCTCTCCTGGTTGTGCATTTTTGGCTATATTGGTGAGACTATAGACTAAGGATTCTAAATTTATTCCTATATTTTCTCTGATGTTCTTTATGGTATTTACGTCTAAATCTCTGATCCACTTTGAGTGGTATGTGGATATGCAGGGAGATGTGGATTCTGTTTGAGAGTTAATCCAATCTAGAAAGAATCATTATTCAAAATTATAAAATCAGATTTCTAAGAATTGGTGGTGTTGTTATGTGCCTTAAAGTCGCCTGTGACTCATAGCAACCCTATCTACAACAGTTCTGAAGTCTGCCCTGTCCTGAGTTAATTTCACTGATTCTGACACACCTACCTCCATTACTCCAGTTACTGTGTTAATCCATACCGTCTGAACAATAGCCTCAGAACAGTAGCCTCTCCTGCTTCGTCCCTCTACCCTTCCAAGCATGAAGTCTTTTTCCAAGAACTGGTCCCTCCTGGCCATGTGCCCAAAGTATGTGAGACAGAGTCTCATAGCCTCCAAGGAGAAACTTCATTTCACTCTCTCCAAGACAGATCTGTTTGTTATCTTGGCAGTCCATGGTATATTCTATACTCTTCTCCAGCACCACGATTCAAATGCATCAATTCTTCTTCTCTCATCCTTGGTCATTGTTCAGCTCGCCAATGCATAGCAAATAATTGTGAAGAGCATGCCTAGATCAGATGCACCTTAGCCTCTAGACTGATATCATTGCTTCTCAGTACTCTGGAGAGGTCTTTGATTGCAAATTTTCCCAGTGTAATTCATCTTTTGATTTCCTGACTGCTGGTGCCAAGAGTGTTGATTGTGGAAGCTAGCAACCTGAAATTATTAACAACCTCAATTTCTTCTTCATCTATCCTGATGCTGCCAATTTGCCTAGTGGTGAGAATCTTTGTCTTCCTGATGTTGAGCTTCAAACCATATTAAAGACTTTTTTGTCCTTGACTTTTTTGAGCAAGCGCCTCAGGTCCTCCTCAGTTTCAGCAAATAAGGTTGTTTCATCTCCGTAGCATAGGTTGTTGATGAGTTTTCCTCCAATCCTGATGCCACATTCCTTCTCATAAAGTCCAGCTGCCATTTCCCATATAGATTGAAAAGATATGGAGACAGGACACATTACTTTCCTGATTTTGAACCATGCAGTATTTCTTGCTCTGTTCTGAGAACTGTTTACTGGTCTAAGTTTTTAATGAGCACAATCAAGTGTTCTGGGATTCCCCTTCTCCTTAAGATTAGCCACAATTTGCTGTGATCCACAAGAGATTTTATAAGAGATTTACAAACAATTTCTAGCTCCGCTCCTTTATTCCCACAACCATCTGTAGAAAATTCTTATATTGTCTAAATGTTGATATGAAGCAGGTGAAAGCAGGAGGATACTATCACTGTTTTGTAGATGAAGGGGTTACTAGATGTGGCAGAGTTAAGAGAAGCATGCTTTCCAATTCTTTATCTTCGGAAAATGCAGAAAGTAAATATGAGAAAGGGGAATCTGTTTGGAAAGCTAGCAACCAAGCAAACAAACAAATAAACCCACAGAGGAATTGATCCTTGTGTTTCTGCTTTACACACAGAGGATTACTTCCTCACCTTTCTAAACTTTCAACTTTTAAGCAAATCTTCGGATCGACAGTCAGCTCATAAGATGAAATTGCAAACTATTGCTTTCATTCATGCAGCACAAAAATGCTGCACACGTGGAAATCAATACATGTGTGTCTCAGTATGTACTCCAGTGGCTCACGAAAGAGCTCAAGCAAAGTAGCCATAAACAAAGACCCCTACTGCCAGGAGAAGGATGGCGTTGATGTTCACCACCATTCTCCACAAGGGCTTCTCAGAGGTGTCTGTCAGCTTCTTCTTCAGGGCTTCCTCCTCCTCCTTGGTCAGTTTGGGGCCTTTCCTCTGCAGACCACAGAATAAGTCATATGCCTTCTTGAAACACCCACGAGAGTCTTCAAGATCATCTGAGGAATGGACAGATGAAATCATTATCAGAAAGCGTGGAAAATAGAACTCCTTTTTCATCCAGCCCTGGATGTTGCATACCAGTGTAGTACAGATTACTCTAAAGAATGATTGCAGCCACTTTTAAGCCTAAGAAGGGCCCTAGAGGAAGATAGAGAAAATGGATTACATAAAATAGAACATTTTTGTACATTATATAGGCTTTGTTCACATGTACAAAGATAAATGACATGCTGGAAGGTGGAAAATCCATTTTCAATCTGTATCACAAAAGTTTAATGCATATAGCATATTTATGATTTTCTAAACCAGAGAAGATAAAAAAATAATCCCTTGGTAAGCATGCTGGAGAAGCAGAAATAACTCAAAGAGCAAAAAAACATGGCTTTAAAACCTCAATTTTAAAGAAGAAATTAAATTAAAGCCATACTGAAATATCATTTACTATCTTTAAGGGGAAAACATTTAAAAATTTAGGGCATCTGTTCAGACACTGGTACTCTCATAGATAATTGCTAAGAAAAAATTATTACATCTCCGTGGAAGAGAATACAGTAATATAGCAAACCTGTACAGCAATTTACCTTTTGTCCCAAAATTCTACATCTCAAATTTTATTCCAAAGATAGGCTGGCTAAAACATGAAGCAGATTTGTTCACAAGTCTATGTGTTGCACTTTGGAAAAAGTGTAAACCTATCTTTAAGTTCAAGTGTCTGTGAGAATTATAACATAGTATCTCTAAATAAGTGATAAGACAACTTCTCTACAATTTCATATAGTCATAGGTATTTATTGGAAATGAAGGGGCTGAAACTTTGTGAAGCAGCCAACTTAAGAAGAAAAAGAAATAGCCTCAGAACAAATGCAAACACAGTGAGTGGAAGTGTATACAGATAAGAATAAGTACTGAGACAAAAATTAAGAATAGAAGTTACCAGGCATCTCTGGAGGGCTCGTCCATAAAGAGCTGCACTGTTCACCCAGCAGCTAAGCCCATCTGGTGGCTTAAATCCAACAATAGTTACACAGAAGAAACATGGGCAACCTCTTCCTATGCAATTTACTGCTTTAGAAAAACAACTGGACGGGCAGCTATGAGTTACTTGTGACTCAACGGCCATAACTTGACTTGAACAGAAATAACAAAGCCAAGTTTTGGTTCTTAGAGAAAAGTTATATAGATAAGTCTTTAGTGAGAACTGTCCAGCAAAAAAAAAAAATCCCTTTCAATTATAAAATGTTATAAAACATAAATACAGAGACAGAACTATAGAAAAAAACTAAGTAAATACAAACACATTTCTTTAATAAATAAGTGCCAATAAATTTAAAAAATATATACCAAGTGTTACAAGGAGGGACCAGTCCTTGGAGAGGGACATCATGCCTGGGAGGGTGGAGGGACAGAGGAAGAGAGGAAGACCCTGGATGAGATGGATTTACTCAGTGACTGGGGCAATGGGGGGCTAAGTATGTCAAAAATGATATGGCTGGCTCAGGACAGAGCAGGGTTTAGAGCTGTTGGACATAGGATTATTATGAGTCGCAGGTGACTCAACAACACATAACAACAACAACAATATATCAAATGTTCAAAATCTTAGCATCTAACTTTTCTTAGAAGTCTCTACTGAGCTATGCATGTCTCCAAAATACACATATATGTTACTGTTTTACAATGAAAAACATACTATTTTTCATTGCCATCAAATAGGAACTGATCCTCCAGCAGGTTCTCAGAAGCTGTTCATCACACAAGAAGGAGATTGTCCATCTTCTTCCTCAGAGGAACTAGTAGATTTAAACTGTGTAGCCTTGAGTTAGCAGCATAACTCATTAATCACTAGGCCACCAGAGCTTCCTATATACATTTTTACATACACATATAAATATGTGTGCATTAATGTAACATTGACCTTTACTTCTATTTGGAGAACTCAAACCAAATATTTAGTGTACAATCCTAAAATTTTAGTATCCTAAAATGACAGATCATATCAGCAGTTAAGAAAATATCTGGTAAATGCAAAACCATAGAGAGGCAGCTGGAGAAACTGAATGTTGTCGCTGTTATATGTTATTGAATCCACAAGGACTCATAGTGATCCTGTGAAAAACAGACCTGAACCTTTCTCTATCCTGTGCCACCCACAGGATCTCTGATATGAAATGTGTAAAATAAATATTAAATGACAAAGAACAGAGAATTTTTCTTTTCACCTGGAGACAAAGATGTTATACCCCTGGAAATCATGATTTTTGTATATGTGGAAAAGTGAGGAAACCTATCAGTTTTGGAATAAATCATATATTGAAGGAAAATAGTGACTAATTAAATTGGAGAAGAAGGTGGTTCTAAAAGCTTTATCTGCCAGATTCTCATCTGTCTGAGCCCTTTGATGTAGGCAGTCAACTTTGCCAGTTTATCTCCTTGAGCTATTTTCCCCTCTTTAATGAACTTTCTGGTTTTCCAACTATGATGTCCTTCTCCTGTAACCTGAACCACTCCTGATAAGATGTCTAAAGTATGTAATACCAAGTCTCACCATAGTTACTTGATTAAGTACTGAATTTTTTTTTTATATTCCATGTAATTGGTGATAGGCATGCATTTGCTGTTCTCATTCTTTTGTGTTTTTACCATGGGCTGCCAGAAGAACAAATAACTCAGTCTTGGAGAAAGTATCAGAGCAGTCCTTAGAAGTAAGGTAAAAGAACAGCAAGCAACAAATGCGGGCACGGTTGTGGAGAAACTGGAACCCTGATTCACTGTTGGTGGGAGTGTAAAATGGTGCAACCCCTGTGGAAAGCAGTATGGCGCTTTCTCAAAAAGTTGCAAATAGAGATACCATTTGACCCAGCAATTCCACTACTGGGAATATACCCTGAAGAGACCATAGCTGACATCCAAGCAGATGTATGCACACCCATGTTTATTGCAGCTTTGTTCACAATAGCAAGGAGTTGGAAACAACCTAAGTGCCCATCAACAAACGAATGGCTAGAGAAGCTGTGGTATATTCGCACAATGGAATACTATGCTGCATTAAAAAACAAGGAACTCATGCAATATTATTCAAAATGGTTGACTCTGGAGAACATTATGCTGAGTGAAATATCCCAGTCACAAAAGGACAAATATTACATGATGCCACTGTTGTAGAATGGGACTGTCCTTGGGGTTGGGGAGAGACTGAGTAAGATGGGTTCAATAATGTATACTGCACTGAAACAGAGGAGGGAGAAAACCGTTTAAAAGAGATATATAACTAGGTATTTCTGTCATCACAGGAGTCTAGAGCGAGGGCTACATGGTGGAGGGGACCTGGGGGAGGGTTTGTAAAACAATGAAAGAATCTTTTCTTTTACTTTTCCATAATTTTTGGACTCATGTACTTATAACTTGTTAGTCAAATTTGTGTCTTCTAGGTTGCAACACCCCCATGATACATCTTCAAGGATATGAACATGTATGGCCAAGCCCAATCAATAAGAGTGCATCTAAATTCCAAAATCAATCTCCGTAATAGTCTATGTGTTTCCTACTGCCAAAGGGGCCCTTTAGAGTAGTGAGAGAAGATCTTCACCCTGAAACCCACAGCGTCCCTTTTCAGCAGGAAGTAGCTAAGAGAATACACCATCCCCTTTTCCTTATGACTCAGGGTGAAGTCTCTCTCAGGGAGGAGTGATAGGGAATGGCAAAGGACACACTTTCAAAGAAGATTAATCAGAACTGGCTTTGACAAGCACTGTGGCATTTGGACAAGAACAAACTGGGAGGAGGGTAGAGAGAATAGTGCAACAATGAATGAATGGAAACCCAAAATCTCTGTAAATGTTTATGAAAATTAATAAAATATAATTATAGAAAAAAAAAGAAGTAAGGTAAGTAAAACGTCATCAAACATACGTTGGACATTGTCCTTCAGCAATAAGAAAGGGCCAATCCTTAGAGCGGGATATCATGTTTAGTAAAATACACTGAGAAAGTATAATGAGGTCAATGAAAAAGAGGAAGACCCTCACGAAAACGGATTCGCAGAGAGACTACGACAACGGGCTGAAACACTGAGCCATTGTAAGGATGACACAGGACACGGCAGTGCTTTATTCTCTTGTACATATGGTCACAGTGAGTTGGAACTGACTAAGAGCACCAAACAGCCACCCTCACAAGTTGTTTTGGTTGTTGGCAAGTTAAAACACGCCATAAGTGTAGCAGAAACTTTTTCAGAAGCTACATATCCTGGCATTTAAACACATTAAAACCAAGACAGATTCTTATACAAAAGCTAGATGTAAGCCCCACGTTACCTTCTTCAACACCATCATCCTCCTCTTCCTCTCTTTTCTCATCTGGGTCTAAATTGATGCGTTCCTCTGTACTGTTTCGAAGAGCCCAGCACAGGCGGTGAAGCTGATTACAGATCATACACAAGTCCATTAGAGATGGGGAAATGTTTATGATACATGAAAGGTCCTTTGATATATTGTAGGATTCTAATAAATCAAACAGATGGAAATACAGAGCAGAAAGAAAATGTCTCCTACCACACTAACTTATTAAAACATATGCACCATTTTTAATTATCCATTTTCAAAAATATTTGGTTGTTTACATGTGTATCTATTTATACAGTGATGTAAATTGAAGTCATCCTCATTAAACGTCTTTCTTCCTCTCTTCCTTTTTCCCTCCTCCACTTTAGAAATCTAGCTCCAGAGAAAATTCATGCACACATACGTACATATTCCTATTATTTGTATTAGAATTTTGGCATAGTAGACATCTAACAATTATATTGCTAATACACAGAGAATGAGAATTTGATATTAGAGAGATGCTTGCTCTTTTGCAGATTACACAAATTCACAAAAATTCTCCAACAGTTTGGGGCATTTGCTCACATTGTTGCCAACGACAATGAATTTTCTTTTTAATTCACTGAAACAACTGAAATATTTTCACCTATTTTAAAAAATTTTTATGGTTCTATTCTTTTCATTCACTGATATCATGTGCTTTTCCACCTCTGTGCCAGTGTTCATGCTGAATGTGAAACCCTACAATCCCAGAGAGGTCTACTACAGATGGCAGCTCTGCTAAGAAGTCTTGTCCAGTGTGTCAAACTTCACTAATTATGCTCTTTCCAGAATCCTATATAATGATGTAAATAACTTCCCAACTGTGTAGTGATTTTTTATTGTCATGAATTTCATTTTCTAATATTTTTTAAATTACCAGAGTCTAGCACATACTACATTCATATTGTTGTTGATGCAAGGACTGGATGATATTCTCTTGTTTTTCTTTGAGTTCTACCATTCTCTAGTGCGTTGGCTCCATTGGGATTTGAACACTAGTTGAAGTTATAGGAGACTAAGAATCTTTCTTAAAAATGACCCTTGTCCCATTATTCCATACTCACGTGTACATCAGGAATGGGTTTAGTCATCAGGGAGACTCCCAGCACAACCAGGAGGGTCACAAAAAAAAGAATGATGCTGAAATAAAAGTAGTGCACTCCACAGATAATCGTGGGACAGTTACTAGGAGCCACGCAACTCCCTGTCCCATAGGCAAACTCTGCGATCATACGAATAAGGCCAATCATGAGCCCAACAATAAGGCCCCAGAAAGCTCCCTGCAAAAGAAACAGAGTTTTAGAGAAAATTAGAAGTTCATTATGTTGTTGTTGTTGTTGTTGTCGATTGTCATCAAGTTGAGCACAACTCATAGAGACCCTACGAACAAGAGACATGAAGCCTTTCTATAACTACCGTCATTTCTCAAAGTTCATCAAGTTACCAGAGGCATGTTGTTTATCAAGTGGATTCCACTCATTATACTAACTCATAATTGTCCCTCTGACTGATATTAAACTCAAGAATCAACAAACCACTAATCTTGAACACAGGCAAAGTTACAAAAACTTGAACTGGAGTATGTCCTTGTTCTCTGTAGTTCTAAATAATCATTGCTCTATCATTTCATCAAGTGCATGTCTTGAAATAAGTGCAGTCAGGATGTTCTATGAAGGCGAGGATGATGCAGATTCTTTGTTCCACAGATTTTGGGCATGGTGTTAGGAGGAGCTGTTCCTCGGAAAGGGACATCGTGGTTGGAAAGGTGGAGGGTAAGCCAAGGAGAGAAAGACCCTCAATGAGAGAGACTGACATAGTGACTGTGGCAATGGCCTAAAAAGTCTGTCAGAGCTGGTGAAGATGGCACAGAATAGGACAAGTTTATATCTGTAGTTCATAGGGTTGCTATGAATTGTACCCAACTCAATGACACCAAACAACAACGAAAACACTTAATTTTACCTCAACTGAAGTTTTTCTGGACCCATATATAGATTTTAAGAACTTTTGAGATATTTAAGATGACAGAACAAAACTAAGACTTATGGTATACATTTGATAAAGTTTGTATTACGTTATTTTACGAGTTCCATAATTTTTTTTTAGCATTAACATCATTTACTGCTTATGCAATGACAAATTTGTCAGTAAAAGCTATGAGGATGTACAGGTCAGGAGAACACTCAAACATGAGCTTCCCTTACCTCTTGACTACAGAATCAGTTCATTCTGATTCCGGCACTTTCTTGCTTGTCAGAGAAAGAGTGACATCTGATGACCCCACATGACAGGGGAAGAAGAGTGTTTGGAACCACATGGAAGGAAAAATTAAAATATCCCAACTACCTTATTTCATAAGAGACAGTGCCAGGAGCACCTCCATGTGTATGTATTTATTTATAAAGGAATTTTTGTAGATGGGACAAGAGCTGGAAGATGCTGCATCACGCGTCTCATGCTATCATCTCATCTTTGACTTCTAGATGGTGTTTGTTCCTCCCCTGGGACTCCAGCCTGAGATCCCTAGGTTTTCTCCCCATGAAGTTCTCTCACAGTTATTATTTCTCCAATTGTGATATATAATCCTTTGTTCTCTTTTTCCACTACTGCTGCAAAAAAATACAAACTATCTTACTATGTCGTGTGTGTGTGTGTGTGTGTGTGTG